CTATTGTTCTGCCTCAAACACTCAGTGTTGATCCATGCATTTGGGGAAAGGAAGCCAGTGAGATGCCTGAGCAACTTTGGTTATTTTTTTATTTTCATAAAAGAAGGTGAAGTAAAGAGAGTATGTTATTAAGATAATCCGCGACTTCGAACATACAGACTGGCTACCTTTAGCCATTTGTTTTGGCACAAGCCATAGAAACCACATCTTTCAGTTCCTTCTCTTTAGGTTTTCAGTGTGTACTGTCTTGTTTTCCTGAGGCAGCAAGTTTACTTTGTATCTGAGAAAGTAATCTCTGCATAAATTTGGGATTTCTACAGCTTCTTAGAAATCAGCTCTTAGTATCCAAGTGTTTCTAAATTATTTATCTGCTGTAGTGATGCTTAGGGGGGACACGGAGCCTCAGAGTAGAGAACTAGGTTCTCATCTCATGGGTGTCCTTTGCTATCAGCCAGATTTTCAGAGGCTGATAGCAAAGGATTTTGACTCCTGACTTCCTTTGGAGTGGTGGGTGCCCAGTGTGTCTGGAAATCAGGCCCTTAACCTGCAGGCGTTGGTTTCTCCATCTGTAAAACAGCAGTGATGCTGTCCACTCATCATTATTTAGCACCTTGAGATCTACAGAATAAAGCTTTTAGATAAATAGTGTAGTTTTTTATGAAATGTCAGCGCACCATGTAATGATTTTGCAGGCACTATAGTATGACAGCTTTTTGTGGCCTTTAACATAGATAAAGGCTGAATTTCCTTCCTGTTTATTTAGCTGTTGCCTGTATGTTATCACTTGTCACTCAAGTCAGGCTTGCAAGAGTCAAACCACTGCTTTTTTAGTTATTCTTTATAATTCAGTTTGTTTCTAGACGTTTCAGAAAGAAAGGTAATAAACCTCTTCAGCAGAAACAGATGTTTTCACTTTGCTGTCAGATGATTGCAGTGACCTTTCCAGAGCACAATATGAACCGTGTAACAAAATGGCTTATCTGCTTTTAGACCTAGAAACATCGGCTGCAGCTTGCTCGCACTTTTGTCAGTTTGTCTCAGAACAAAGAATTGATCCAGCTATGATGTCTGCACAGGCACACCCACATGCTCACACAGAGCTTATTGCAGGGCTAGGGATCTGGGTCCATATGCTGAGCAAGAGACTGTCCTAGGAATCCAAAGCAGCGGGATGGGGAAAGCCTATTTACATGAATAGTCTATAGCTTTCCTCTCTTGATCAGGATTTTGCATAGGTCAGTCCCTCCCACATTAGTCATTCTGGGTCCAGCCATTCCACATCGTCTAGTAAAGCCTGTAAAGTGATTCACAACCTGGGTTATCAGTGGAGGATCTGAAGCTGGCATCTTTAGCTTCCATAGCACAGAACTCCACCACTTGTGCTAACACAGTAACTCTACTAACCCACTCACAGTAGCAGTCTTACATTTTGTGTGGACTAGATTGCATACTACACACACTTTCTATCAAGGGATGCTTGTCTTAAGCATCTAAAAGTCCATGGGAATCACATTTGAGCCACCCTAAATGTTGGGGTTGGGGGGACACTTTGCTGGGGAGGGAATGCAGGGCCCTCAATACCAAAATCCCAGCAAGCCACAGAGGTTTGTTCATTTTTGGTGTTCAGAGTTCCAGGCTCTACCTCTGCTGACTTGCTGTGGTGGGGACATTGCGCTTACAAGATGCAAAGGCTTTGGACCCTTAGGGTGCATCTACACATGCATTTAAGCCTGACTAAATTTAATGTGCATTAAGCTAATGCACATTGTTTGGTTGGTTTTTTGGCAGATGTCTACATGTGCAGTGACTTGGGACTAAAGTTAGTACACTTCGCACTAAAGTTAGTCCCAAGTCAATTCAGCCCTGTCGTGTGCCCCTGTGGCCCTGCAGTAGCTAGGCAGACCTGGTCCTAAAGTTGGTGCTAAGGTCACGTGTACATGTGTGTTAGTGTGCATTGTGACTAAATTTGATACCTGCATTTGCAAGTACCAAATTTAGTCATGATTACCCTAAGTTAATGCTCATTAAGGGCATGCACGTGTAAATGGGCACCCGTAATGCACATTAACTTAGATTAATGCATCTTGTGTAGACGTGCCCCTAGATTTAGTTTTCTAGACCTGGTCCAAAGCATATTAAAGGTGACAGGAGCTTCCCCCCTGACCTTCAGGGGGCTCTGAGTCAGAGTCCACATTAGAGGAAATATTACTCACAGGAAGAGAGAACTCGTCTTTCAGCAACATAGAAAACAGATAGAAACAGCTGCTACATTAAACAGATTTTTCATAAGGAATATTACTTTATTTTTAATTGAGTGGTAATATGAATGTTAGCTAGCTAATGTTACCTGACTAAAGAAAAGCCTGACTCTGTGAGGTGCTATGCTCCTTCACATCCTTTCGAGATCAGTGGTTATTCAGCCTCCTGATAAGTGATTTAGCCTTCATTTTGTCCTGTACTGATTGTGGCTTTGGTTTGCTGTAGTTGTTAGTGAAAAGAACTGTTAGAAATTCTCTGAAGCAGGCTCAATTCAGGAACTGCAAACACTGGGCCAGATCTTGCCTGCAGAGGGGTGTGGGAAAAGCGAACAGCTTCTACCTTTGCATGCTTGCTAGGTTTAGCATCCCTGTCTTCCATGGCATGCAGAGACATGTCATCAAGCTCCATAGCAGCTGGGATCCTGGCCAGATCCACTCAGATGGATGTGGTGTTCTTTGTGTGCAGGGGACACTGACACATTCCTGGGGCCGGGTCCTTCCTCTGAGCAGTGTGTCCCTAAGGCAGGACCCTGTCTGACATGGTAACATGACTGTTTTGTGCTCCTGCCTACTCAGCCTTGATTTGCAGCCAGGGAGCAAGCTCCTCCCAGTCTGTCCCGATTATTTCAGTTAATTTTGTTTTCAAAGATCTCACAAAAGGTGCTGTTAAATGTGGCCTGTGAAAAATGAAGGGAGACTTACCAGATCATTAAGCTGCTGTTCACTTTGATGGAAAGATATGGCTGTAAGAAAGTCCAGTGGAAAGGGATTTGATGCCATCTTCTGGATTAAATAGAACATTACAGATCAGAGCAGAGGCTGTCTCTTGGAGGCACATCCAGGGCTGATGCTTTCTATATGATATCAGCTCATTGCAAAAGAGGAGAGCCTATTCTGGGATGTCCCGAAGACTGAATCAGACCTCGAGTGGGCAGAGGTAGAGTCTCCCAGAACAAACAGCCAGCAATGCACCTTGACAAAAAACCCAGTGATAACCATTAATGCCAGGAGTTGTTGGTAGTAAAAGGGCTGGGTTCAAACACCTACATATTTAATTTAAAATTTCTAAACAGTTCTGGCTTGCAACCTCAAAGAAACCTGGGCATCCTTAACAGACAAAACTGCCCCTCTTACAAGCACTGAGGTTGGGACACAGAAAACTGCATTAAGGGAGAAAATACCTCAGCCAAGCACATGTTTATACGACTAGTAATTAAAATGTTCACCCCAGTGGGGACGTGGATGATAGTCCTTTGCCTTGGTTGCCCACCTATTCCTGCGAGCCTCCCACTGGCAAAAGTCTCTCTGATACCATGCTTCCCCGTCTTTTCCCTGCCGTGCGCCTTTGTGGTGTTTTGTCAGAGAAGCTCCAGAGGTGGGAAGCTCCAGAGGTGCGGTCCAGCAGGTCCGGCAGGGAAAGTGCTACTGGGATTTCACGGACAAATGCTTTGTTATCATCTTATCATTGTCTCATGCTGGACTGCCTAACTCTGCTACAGCTACTGTGGCTCTGTTGTCCTGTGTGGGGGACAGAGTTCACTCATCGCTGCCATTACTGTGTGGAGGGGATCCAGTCACACACAGATTTTTGCTTTTGCATGCATGCACTTGCACACATGTCCAGCACATGCTTCAGCCATGCAACACAAGTTCAGGTGATGGTGATTCCTCACTAGAGACAGATTAAGTACAGTTCTGTTGCCCTTTTGCCACAGCTAAAAGGCAACAGTGTTTCATTAACCCTATACCTGAAGCTTGAATGACTATTAACACTTAAATAGACATTAGCCAAAATGACCAAGCAGGTAGCACCCACACAAATAATGTCTGCTCTTCCATCTCCCCCAATTCACCAATAGATGGCAGCAGACAGCTCCTACTCTTGACTATTAGAGCTGCCTTGTGTTTATAGTTTTCAGCATTGTATCATGGAAGGCTAATTCCTTCAAAATCTAACAACTGAGTAGGTACAATTTTCAGGGAAGTATCAGACTGAAATTGCAGCAGACTGAGCTGTAGGGGTGCATCAGTGTCAAGCAGTGACAGGAAGGGGTCTCTGTGCTTAACAAAGAACAGAAGAATTTGAAAGAATTTAAATATCCCTGAAAAAACATCACTTTTGATGGCATTCATCATGTATAATCCTCTAGCCACAGTGTACCACAATCCTATACCAGTATTGATGAGGAGTGCCCAGGATCAAGGAGAATAGACTGAAATTTGGAGGAACAGAACTAGACCCAGGTCCAAAGAAAGACTGAGTGTAAAGAGAAAAACTGTTTCAGGGGAAAGTCCTTGGTTATCCAGATTTACCATGCTCTTTGGAAACTACTCATGTTCAATTGCAGTCTGGGTGCTTTACAGAAGGCAAACTGCAACAAGAACCATTCTTCCTCTTATTAATATGTTAAAGTGTTAAGCCCCAAACTATGACATTTGTACACTTCATTGACCCGTCGATCACATTTTAGATTTCTAAAACTCTTGAATTCACAAAGCAAGCCTGTCTTGCAATGCATTAAATTTGTTATAAGAAAACACTGCTAACATTACTCTGCATGTACTGTAATTTGTGATCTCACTCTTTTTATATGCTCTTTTCCACCACTGATTTAATCATCTCCAGGCTAACGCAATTTAGAAAGGCATTGTTCTCACTGAGATCATCACACTGGGTCTCTGCTTTTTACATTTTGCTGGCTATATATATAATTTTATAATTGCACAAATTACTCATTTCAGCATCCACAGATTCAGAAGGAGTCGCAATATATCAGGTATTTATGCTGTGATGACCAGTGGACTCTACATCAGTGGGTAACTGGAATAAGAATTGCCAAGGCAAGTAAAAAGGCATTTTCTTTATTTTTTTCCTCCGGGACCCTGTCCCAGCTCCACCCCTCCACCCCCACTAAATGACTGTCATTAGAGCTATGCCTGTGTTACAGCTGGAGATGTTTGGGATGTGTAGGCCTGGGAACATGCTAATTTCAGTATAGGTAGCTCAGGTACCAGCAGCAGTGAAGATGGGGTGGCACAGACCACCCAGGTATCCCTATAGCCATCATGTCTCTATTGCAACTGGTACCCTTGCTAGCTAGATTAAAGCTACCTTGTTGCATCTCCACATGCTACAGTCACACCTCCCACTGCACTGTATAATCACTACATCCAGGTATTAAACAAGTGGCTTGATCTCAGCTTCAGAAAATACCGCTCTGCTTCTCGTCCATGGAGCGACACCAAAAAGTGATGGTGGAGACCTTGATGGCTAAGCTAAGGGCTTAGGCATTCAGCTGTGGTTCATTAAGCATGCTACAAGCTTGCTCCTTGGCATGCTTTGTCTTTCTGACTTAATGGGCTGGCAGCCTTTTCAAGTCACAGGCTGGAACAACCCAGCTCCACTTTGGTCCTGTCTGGGTGGCTTCAGTGTTGCATCAGCAGTGAGAGCGGTTTTGCATGCAGCCATGCCAGAGCCAGGCACCTAGGACTACTGGCATCAGCAATGCTTTTCCCAGCACCCTAGTCCCCAACAGGAGCACAAGTGCAGCTTCCAGCTGGAAGGGAGCTATGCCAGGGCTCGGCAGCTTGGAACTGAACCCATGCTGCTGGCACTGGTTCTCTCTGACCGTCTGCTCCCTGCCTGCACCGTGCAGCTTCTAGCTGGTGGTGTCCACATTGTTGTCACTTCTGCCCGCTCCCCAGCTCCTGGCTGTATCACAGGCACAGCTGAAGTTGCCTGGCCCTGAGTCAGTTCCCCATTTCCTGGAAGCTGCACCTGTGCTGCATCAGGGGGTGGGGAGAAGTGGTATCAGTGCAGGCGCAGGTTCTAGCTGCCCAGCTGAAGTACAACTTCTTAATGCCCAGCACCAGCCCCTTCTGGCTCCATGGGCTACATCCAGTGGCTCCGTGGGCCAGATTCGGCCCACAGGTGATATGTTGCCAACCCCTGCCATAGCACAATAATGGTTTAGCCCTGAAATGCCTGACTTGATAGTAATAATAAAAGTGGCATGTCTGTTTCCACCCCAAAAAAGTAATTCATGGGAAGTCATTGGAAACATTCCCAGTTATACTTGGTTTTGAGCTGGGTTTCAAAGGATCCAAATCTAAGCTGAAAATACCAAGTCAGGCAGTTGTGCTCCAGTGCACCAGGCTTAGGACCTGGATTCTCTCTCAGGTGTTGTCACTGAGAGACTGTGGCTCCTCTGTCACTCCTTTTTCCATCTGTGAAATGGAGATAATGCTGCTTACTTGCCCTTGTACACCTCAAAGGTCGTTTGCACTATTCTAAAAGAGCTAAATATTATACTGAGTTTTCTGTCCTGTACTTATGGCAGAATCAGATAGAAATCAATGGGACTCCACTTGGGCATTGGAGCCAGTGAGGCTTGGTACAAGTGCAAAACTTCCCCCAGCGTGTAACTGAGTTTTGGACAGAGGGACATAATTGGCACAAATAGGTGTTTTTAATCAAAATGGGTAGAGAGGAACAGGATCAAAAAATCTGGCTCAAACCAAATGAGTGTCTGGCCAGCGAAGCATGCGTGTTCACACTCTGACTCAGGATAAAAGGTGTGATTTATTTCCCCAGTATGGCAAGACACTGTATGATAACTACAAACGTGCAGTACAACGGGCTGGGTTGGCTGCTCGATGGACAAGCCTAGGGACTGTGGAACCAGCTGTGGGCACAGGATCATCATCAACAGGTACCATCACTGCTCACATGATCATTTTGCATCACAATTAAACTAACTACTCTGCCTAGGATCTATCCTTGGAAAACTCTCCCACTAGATTCATAAAAAAATGTCCTGTTCAGGCCAACAGTTGTAACCTAGGTCCTGTACAAGTGAGTTTACACTTCTGTGACTGCTTGCAGATGTTAAAAAAAACCCAACATGGCACTTTATTTAAACTCCATGCACTCCTGCATCAAGCCCAGCACATACCCAGAAGAGGCAGAGCATTAGTTGGACCCAGCTGGCCCAATGTTTGTAGAGATTGGGCACTTTAGTGGGGCTTATTTGGTGCTTTTATCTAATAACTGACGGAATCAGCTTTAGATAAAAGTGCCAAAAAGTGCTGCTGAAGCACCCAATCTATACAGATGCTGCAGAGTTGGGTCAAAGTAATGCACTGCTTCTTCTGGTAAAGCCAATTTTGTTTGTTTGTTTGTTTGTTTGTTTTTAACATCTGCAAGCAGCCTGAATATACAAACAAGGCCACCAAAGCAGATTTAAGTAAGCGCATACTTATGCACGTTATTTCAGTGGTATCTGACCATGGCTTCTCTCCCACTATTTGTTATCCTGACTGAAAGTCAGCGCAGACATGAGTGCTAGAATTGTCCAGTCTTCCACTCAAAAGCATCTCTTCCTCCCTAGACTCATTCTTGGAACTTCTCCAAAGGGGAGATTGGGTGATGCTAATGTTATTTGGGGGCGGATCAATACAGCTATGAGCTATTCTGTTCTCTACTTTCTCCTCATTTTTGCATGGAGATTATTTGGCTGCATCATACCATGGGGCAAGATATCTTTAGCAAATTCATTTTCACCAGAGCACAGTTACAGGATGGGGAGGACTGAGGTATTTGCTGTACTTACAGTATCTCTGTTGCCCATTTATTGTTCAGACATAACGGGGCACAATAATAGTAATACCTTAGTATGTTATTTATTGAGGAAAAAAAGTGCTGAGCCCCTTTTCAGAATCATAAAAACTGTATCAAACCAAACCAAACCACCTTAATCCTATCAATACTGTCACTTTCTACACTCCCCTTTTTAGCTCAAAATCTTACTCCCCAAACCCTTCAAATACTTTACCTCTGGTCTCTGCAAGTGCCAATATAGAAACAAAAGTGGACTTTGCAGCCTAGATGTGAAGTTTACAGATACCTAGAAGACAGAGTCCTAAAGGCACTGGGACCTTTTTTAAGGAACTGGCTTCTAGAGTTCAGATCAAGGAGAGAGATTTGGAAGGTACAGTAAAATAATGGATGACTTCATTGGGTGTAGAGACCCATGTTAGCTGATTCTGAAACATTACCTGTCTCACACAGCCAAGTGGCAGTTGCCTTCTAGGCTTTAAGACTGGGGAAAGTGGGAAGGGAATGCGCAGGAGAAGTTTGCTCATTTTAAACTGTGACCTTATTTCAGCAGGAGCAGTGGACATACAGGGTTTTTAAATGGTCAGTGAGAGTTGTTTGGTGCATGCATGTATTGTCCATACAAAATATATACACAAGAGGCAAGAATTCCTTTTTAATCTTTTATCGGACCATCTGGGCGCGAGAAGTTGATCTGGGAGAGAAGACCAAAAGGAGGATAGTATGTGCCTGAAAGCTGTTAATACTTCTCTTAGCTTTTAATACAATTACTACAACCACCAATAAAAGATATCATAAAAAAAGCCTTGCCTCTCACACATTTCCTGGACCATCACAGCTATAACACTCCAACCCTAACACAACAGATATGCAACAAAAATTTGGAACAAAATCAAAATGGAAATTAATTACAGCAGTGATAAATTGCATATATTGCAAGCTCTGTCCAAGTACAGAAGCAGTGCAACAAGCCAATATTTCCACTGGCTATTAATCTGAAATAACGGATCATATTACATGGTCATATACCATGGAAAGATCTTATTAACTGATGTTTTCTCTACAGACTTAGCTGTTGAGGATTATTAGCATCCTAATATGGGCAGGTAATTGGATTTTAGCACATAGTAGCTATGACAAAATATGGAGAACTACATATTTGCCAGAACTCACTTCTCCCATGTTATACAAGCTGGAATGTCTAACTACGAGCAGCTGCTGGCTGACGATTTAAAATGGAGTGGAATATTTTGTTCCAATTACATTATACAATATTGGCTAAAATGAAGAACAGCAGTCAGCAGCCCCACACAGACATGGCAGGGGTTGGGGGAGCTGTTCTTAATCAACCTCAATCACTAGTTAGAAAGGCAGGTGGAGTTTCCTTTTCTCCCATCTCATGCAAGATATATATGTAGATCAGTTTTTTGTGGCTACTGTTTATGGTGTCTGCAAACACCCTGAACTGCACAATTGGTGTTTTTGAAGATCTTTGGCACCAAACTAATCCCATGCCAACACTCATTGTTTTCATCTCTTTCTCACTATGTTAATCTTCATATACAATGCCAGGATGTTCCAAAGTTGAAAGACACTGCTCTTCCTAGACATACTGCGTCATCCCTGGGCTCTCGCCTGGCTCTGTTGGCATCATATTTTGACCAGAACTTCTAATTAAAAGCAGTATTGTTAATTTCCATTTCATTTTAACACAAAACATTGGAACACTTGAATGAGAGAGAACACCACGAATAAAATTGCAGAGGGAAGGAGGCCTGGATTCACATTAGCAAACCCAAAGCGAACTTTGGTTGGCTGTCTTTGCGCACAGTGTGCATGTTTGATGGATGGGTGGGACCAAGTGTCCAATACTATCCTCAAGTCTAGTGCAGTTTATAAAATAGACAAGGACCCATTAACTGAAGATGTTGGAAGAGAGCTTCCATTTAGCTATATCCTAACTTCCTGATTATGTTTTTGTGTCAGACTGCCTTCTCTAGACAGTAGATTTAAGTACAGTACTCCCTCGTGATCTTACCTCACACCTCATGAGATGACACTATTTTTGAGCATGTTGTCCCTAAGCTCCTGTAGGTAGCTTTTGAGTTCTGTTCACAGTAGGACAGATAAAACACACACGGTAGGTATGTAGGACCCCTTCAATTCTCCTTCAAAGACAAATGGACAGGGCTCTTTAAGAAGCAGTAGACAGGCTAGATATCATACCCCTGCGAGCAGTATAAAGGAAGGACCCAGTAGCAAGGGAAGGGATTTGGCTGGGGAGAAGAGAGCAGGGAGCTACATATACATTTAAGTACTTTGCTCAACTGGGCCTTAAATTGGCAGTCAAATAAGCTATGACCAATTAGTCACATGATTTGAACTGAGAAACAGGGCACTGAATTGTAATTTCCAATACAGTAATGAATATGGCAGTAAATGTTATGCAGACTTTCCAAAACCTGAGCATCTACAAATCCCATGAACTCCAGGAGGAGCACCTTTAAGAAACCAGTCCCTAATTTTCTAGCCAGATTTCTCTGCCCTCCATTGTAGTACTATTATAATCCAGGCGTGCCTGTGGGAACACTTTATACTTCTGTTCTGCCTAGTTTCTCACCTTAGGTAGTCCTACCTTTGAGGCTCAGGCTACTATTATTTTGTTTTATGCCATGTGATAACATTGACTGACATTACTCATGATAATATAAGCACAAACATGGAAATTACAGATTCCTTTTATTATTCTAACTGAAAAAGCAGTCCACAAACATGGGCATCGCAGTCATAACATCATTCATCTTTACTGCATCACAGTGTTGTAAATTACACTAAGAAAATCAGAGCAGCTCCCGCAGTTCAGAAATGTATGCACCAGACACCAAAGAAGAATATCTACTTCTTTCGCATGTTTGTCTCTAAAAATCCCAGACTAAACTGGAGGGTTTGTTTAATCCTTAGCAGACTAGACAGTTTATTTTTCTAGTTAAAACCAAAATACTTTCTTTTGGTCTTCCTTTCACTTACACCGGTTGGCAGTACCAAAATATTTATGCACAGCCCCTTACAAACACACCAAAAGTATACAAAACTTTTCCAGAGTTTCAGTTTAGCCAGCAAATATTTGCTACTCTGGGACTATCCAGGTTTCACAAATCTTCCATAAGGCCCTGCTAGGAAAACCAGATTCAGAGCTATCAGCTGTTTTAATAATGTCAAGAGAAAGATTCTCTTGTCCACATTATCTTAAAACTATAGCTCCAATGTTCATATCCTTATAAGACTATTACACTTGTATCTCTAAACTGAAACAGGCTCCATTAAAATGGAATGCATTAATCTACAATCCATTTCATAGTTTCATAGTTTCATAGATTTAGGGTCGGAAGGGACCTAGTAGATCTTCTAGCCCGACCCCCGCCAGGGCGGGAGAACAACAAAACCCCAAAACAAGAAACGGGACTCAAATGAGTCCAGCCAGGTAGGCATCCAGCCTCTTCTTAAAGACCCCCAGGGTAGGGGCCAGCACCACTTCCCTTGGAAGTTGGTTCCAGCTCCTAGC